AGAGAGAGAGAGAGAGAGAGAGAGAGAGAGAGAGAGAGAGAGGGAGAGAGAGGGAGAGAGAGAGAGAGAGGGAGAGAGAGAGAGAGAGGGAGAGAGAGAGAGAGAGAGAGAGAGAGAGAGAGAGAGAGAGAGAGAGGAGAGAGAGAGAGAGAGAGAGAGAGAGAGAGAGAGAGAGAGAGAGAGAGGAGAGAGAGAGAGAGGGGGAAGGTGAGAGGAAGGACCTAGTGTCACCTGGAGTGAAGGAACATTTATAGAGTTTCCTGGCCTCTGGTATTCCTGTGTCCTCAGTCACGTTCTGGGAGTGGAGGGCCGCATTCCCTCCACCCCTCCATCCATCTATCTCCCTCCCTCCCTCCCACTCCTCTCCCACGTCCATCCCTCCTATTTTTCACCTTCATTCAGTGAGCTCCCTCTCTCTCTCACTCGATTTTTCTCAATGTGAATCTTGCTATATCCTTCATTCACTCTTTCTCATTTATCTAGTTATTATTGGCTTTCTCCTTCCCCCCTTTCCTTTCTTCATACCCTTTATTTCGCTTTCTTTCTTTACATATATTCTTTCTCTCCCATTCTCTTTTCCTGTCTCATCATCTCTTCTGCCTTCGTTGTAACATTCTTATTTTATTTTACTATCCTTTCCTTTCTCCCTTTCCCTCAATAAAGCCCCCCTTTCCCCCTATTCTCCCCTTTTCCTTCACCAAATATTCATCATTCCCATTTCTTTCATTCCCCATTTTCTTCACTCCCCCATTTCCTTCACTTTCCTCTTTTCTTCACTTTCCAATCTCCTTTGCTCTCCCGTTTCGTTCACTCTCCCTTTTCATTCACCTTCTGTTTCCCACAGTTTTCCTTATCCTCATTTTTCTCATTTTTGCCTCAATCGCTCCCTTCACTTTTTCTCATTCGTCTCCGTCTATCTCACCCTCACTCTGGCAGAGGTTCATTATCAGCCACGGTCTTGAGGGTGAAGCTGAGACAGTGAGAGGTGAGACACGGTGAGGGGAGTGAGAGATGAGACACAGTGAGAGGTGAGAGACAATGAGGGGGAGTGAGAGCAATACAGAGACCGAGTCTTCCTCGGGTACAGTCAAAGGCTTACAGCAAGGCAAGACCAAAATATACAAATACATAAAAACGCTTAAAAATTTTAAATTGTTATAAGCTATAAGGCTGTAAAATATCACCTTAAGTAGGAACACGAAACAAAAGGACTAAAATTGGATCACAGTTTCGATTTAAACTAAGAAATAGGCGAACACTGCTTCGGAAATAGGGCTAAGCAAAACCCTCTTTCAATCTTTCAAATTGAACAGGGGGGTTTGTTTATAACTTAGTAATCACCAAGAAGTGTTCTCTCTCTCTATCTGTCTGTCTGTCTCTGTCTCTGTCTCTGTCTCTGTCTCTCTCTCTCTCTCTCACACACACACACACATACCGTCGTCCCAAATGGACTTGTCCTCGCACAATTCATGCCTAATTTTCTTTGTGTTCTTCCTCGCTGTAGTTCTTTCAAGGTCCCTTCCACCGCTAGTGTTCTCCGCCTCTCCTGTTTCAGAACAGGTAAGGCCAATACATATTAATTTAACATTTTAAGAATTCCTTTCAACTTAATTTTCAGCAATAATTCCTTTATTTCGTGACTCGCAAAATATCTATGACAGGGATTTCTTTTTGTTCTGTCAATTGAAACATTCATTACTGGGATTTTATATATTATTTTTATTATATTAGTAATGGAATCGTATTTTAATGTTCGTTAGATGAGAAGGATTGAACGATGAGGGAATTTGGGTCACAGAAACAATAGGGATGTATATTTATATACATATATACAAGAATTAGGTCAAGACATTGGTAAACAGACACGTGATATTCCTAAACCCACACCTGGAGACTTGTTCGTTCCTTCCTTCTGACCTGTCCTCCTTCTCTCCTCTCTATTTGTCCTTCCATCAGCACCTCCCTCTCTTTATTCTCCTTCCCTCACTCCCTCTCTCTCTCACTTTAGATATTAGGACACATAAAATTGCTACATTACCGCAGTATAAAAAGTCGAAATCACTTCAATTTTATCAATATCTTTGCTCACACACGTACACACATATGTAGGGGCTGACGGTTGAGTGGTCAGCGCTCGGGATTCGTAGTCCTTAGGGTCCGAGTTCGATCCCCGGTGGAGGCGGAAACAAATGGGCAGTTTCTTTCACCCTGATGTCGCTGTTCACCAAGCAGTAAATAGGTACCTGGGAGTTAGACAGCTGCTTCGGGCTGCTTCCTGGGTGTGTGTGTGTGTGTGTGTGTGTGTGTGTGTGTGTGTGTGTGTGTGTGTGTGTGTGTGTGTGTGTGTGTGTGTGTGTGTGTGTGTGTGTGTGAGAAAAAAAAGTGTTGATTGACAGTTGAGAGGCGGGTCGAAAGAGCCAGAGCTCAACCCCCGCAAGCACAACTAGGTGAGTACACACACACAGACGGGCTGCTGAATGCTCCAGGAGATATGGTCTGAGAAATGGCTACTCGACTTTAATCCAGAGAACGTCATAGCATTTGGGCGTTCCGGTGAGGACTCTTCGGGCCTCAGGGACCCGAAGATTACATTTGCCTTCCGCTGGGAAGATAAACGATGGAGTCAGGTAATTAAGGTCATTTACACGCTGACCTGACCTGACCTGACCTGACCCCGAACTCATCAAAACAAGTACACACTTCCCAGGGAACCCCCGTCAGCACGTTTTCTTCAGTGGTTATAACGTGCAATATAAGCGGTACTTAAGTGCACGATACTAGGTGTCTGGTCTAGCCACACCAGGTGTCTGGTCAAGCCACACCAGTTGTCTGGTCTAGCCACACCAGGTGTCTGGTCAAGCCACACCAGGTGTCTGGTCTAGCCACACCAGGTGTCTGGTCAAGCCACACCAGGTGTCTGGTCTAGCCACACCAGGTGTCTGGTCTAGCCACACCAGGTGTCTGGTCTAGCCACACCAGGTGTCTGGTCTAGCCACACCAGGTGTCTGGTCTAGCCACACCAGGTGTCTGGTCAAGCCACACCAGGTGTCTGGTCTAACCACACCAGGTGTCTGGTCTAGCCACACCAGGTGTCTGGTCTAGCCACACCAGGTGTCTGGTCTAGCCACACCAGGTGTCTTGTCTAGCCACACCAGGTGTCTGGTCTAGCCACACCAGGTGTCTGGTCTAGCCACACCAGGTGTCTGGTCTAGCCACACCAGGTGCCAGGTCTAGCCACACCAGGAGCCAGGTCTAGTCACACCAGGTGTCTGGTCTAGCCACACCAGGTGCCAGGTCTAGTCACACCAGGTGCCAGGTCTAGCCACACCAGGTGCCAGGTCTAGCCACACCAGGAGCCAGGTCTAGCCACACCAGGTGTCTGGTCTAGCCACACCAGGTGCCAGGTCTAGCCACACCAGGTGCCTGGTCTAACCACAGCAGGTGTCTGGTCAGGTATGAACACAGATGTCACGGGTATATGGCGAGCTTCACACACCTGGTGAGTGGTATGGCACATCTTGTAACAGGTGCACCAGGATCACCACTACTACCACCACTACCACCACTACCACCACTACCACCACCACTACCACCACTACCACCACTACCACCACTACCACCCTCCTAGTCTTACCCTTGGTTCCTACCACCTTCCCAGCGGCGTACACACTCCTAGTCTTACCCTTGGTTCCTACCACCTTCCCAGCGGCGTACACACTCCTAGTCTTACCCTTGGTTCCTCCCACCTTCCCAGCGGCGTACACACACACACACTTGAGCTGGTAAAACACAAGTACCATGGAGGAAATGGTCACGTTTACTTCAGCCTAAACGTTTCCTGCCTGCCAACGTCTTAAGGAAGTGGTCGTCTGAACACGGGCGGGCGGGAGGACTGGGGGGTGGGAGCACCACCTCACTCACCTCAGTAAACACAATTTAACCCTTAAACCAACCAAAATAAAGTGCATTTGGTTAGTCAAATGCACTTTATTACCTTATCATCCGCTAATAAACCTTATCATCCAACTTAAGGGGTGCTATTGCATGCGTTGGTCTCTACTCCGCTTCTTCTATGTCGATATAGATTTCATGAATATAAAATTTGATATATGTTACGTTATGTTACGGACGGATAGAGGTCATGACCCACTCACACTTCTGTTTTCTCCTCCTTGTAATAAAGTATGACATTGTTTTGCCTCTGATTTCCCGTCTGCCTCACAATATTTCTTAACCCGGATTGGATATTATCATACAAATCAGTATAATACAAATCAGTATATATACATTATCACAAATTATAATATATATATGCTGTTATTTAAAGCATAGAAATTATCATATATATTAATTTTGAAGACTTATCAAAGTATTCCGTGTTACCGAACCCATAATTTATGTACCAAAGGCTCTTAACTTTTAGCAATATACATATTGCTTCGATCCCTCGGCGTACAAAGTAAAGTGGTTTGGCCTAACCAAAAACGTCAAGAAAGTAGCCAACGTACATAACCTACGTTAGCCAATACTGTAAAACTCACAGAAAACGTCAAAATGGCTTTGGTTTTCATTCCTATCAACCCTCGCAAATTTCACGTTGGTGTGTGAGAGTGTGGGTGTATCCTGCTATAGCTGTACGTGGTGTATATGTGCGTTAGACTGAGTGTATCCTTAAGCTTAAATATAACAGCGCCACATCAATCACCAACACCCTTGAAGAAATGTCAACTGGCCGTAATAAAACTTATTTCGAGACTTTTAAGCCAGTTCAAAGTTGAATAAGATGAACAGGTAAAATATTACTTGTTTTTGCACTTGCAAATCTTAAAATATATTACAACTATTGTGTTTTGTGCGATGAGGGGATGACTGTTAGCTGTTGATTCAAACAAATGCCACCTGCAGACGTCTGAGAACATCAGTGTCGAATTGAAATTACCAATTCTGTCAATCTTAAGGAAGAACAGCTTACCAAAATAAGGACAACCCATATTGTTACTATGAAGAGACTCAGCAGTAAACCTGAGACAACAGGAAACCTCAGCAGTAAACCTGAGACAACAGGAAACCTCAGCAGTAAACCTGAGACAACAGGAAACCTCAGCAGTAAACCTAAGACAATAGGAAACCTCAGCAGTAAACCTAAGACAATAGGAAACCTCAGCAGTAAACCTGAGACAATAGGAAACCTCAGCAGTAAACCTAAGACAATAGGAAACCTCAGCAGTAAACCTGAGACAACAGGAAACCTCAGCAGTAAACCTAAGACAATAGGAAACCTCAGCAGTAAACCTGAGACAATAGGAAACCTCAGCAGTAAACCTGAGACAATAGGAAACCTCAGCAGTAAACCTGAGACAATAGGAAACCTCAGCAGTAAACCTAAGACAATAGGAAACCTCAGCAGTAAACCTGAGACAATAGGAAACCTCAGCAGTAAGCCTGAGACAATAGGAAACCTCAGCAGTAAACCTAAGACAATAGGAAACCTCAGCAGTAAACCTGAGACAACAGGAAACCTCAGCAGTAAACCTGAGACAATAGGAAACCTCAGCAGTAAACCTGAGACAATAGGAAACCTCAGCAGTAAACCTGAGACAATAGGAAACCTCAGCAGTAAACCTGAGACAACAGGAAACCTCAGCAGTAAACCTGAGACAACAGGAAACCTCAGCAGTAAACCTGAGACAACAGGAAACCTCAGCAGTAAACCTCAGACAACAGGAAACCTCAGCAGTAAACCTGAGACAACACGGGCTTAACATCTGTTAGGACTACAGCTATCGACCTCAGAAGGATTCCATCTGTCAGGCAGAGAGGATCGTAGGGGGATCGATCAGCGTTCATCCAAGAGTAATATGTTCTTAGGCTGAGTGTGTAGGAGGCTTAACGTATACTCAATCCTCCTTAGCGAGGCTCAGACATCGTGTTGGAGACGTTACCATCATTGCCCAGGTTCCCACACTACAAGCGCCACGGTAAGGATTCATCAACCATTTATGCAACTACTTAAGAAACTTTCATCTTTCCATAATCAGAGCTGATTCGCTTATATTTATTAAACAGTTCAGAAGCTTCGAAACTTCACATTCCAAGATTATTATAGTTAAAGACAACATTGTAGTGCTTCGAAACTCAAAAATTCTTGAATTTTGTAACAAAACTGTCATGATTTTGTAAACAAAACCGCTTTTGTTTACAAAATTTGAATGAACTAAGGATCTGTTTTGTTTACAAAACCGTCAGGATTAAAAATGTACAGGTTTCGTTAAGTGGTTGAGTAAATACTTGATGAGTCCGGGCCAAGGGAATCTTGAATGAACTAAGGAGGTGTCACAGTCTCATAGCGCCACTGTATCGGGGCCTTGTGCACATACAACCCTCACTGCACAACGGTCGCTACAACAAGGCTCTGTGTTGTAGCGTCTGCGGCTCTCCGTAACACGGGATGCTGACTCTTTTGTGCAGAGACCCGGGCACCGCCGGCATGAACATTGTTAAAGGGATGAAGGGAAGGTGGAAGAGGTAGAGGTGGTTAATGGTAGGGAAGGTGGTGAAGGAAAGGGAAAAAACATGAAAGAGAGATGAGAGAAGGGGAATATTGTGAGATGGGAGAGAGAGGGGTGAGAGAGATCCTTGCCTCAGCTGTCTACCCCTCCTAGCATGTGTGTGTGTGTGTGTGTGTGTGTGTGTGTGTGTGTGTGTGTGTGTGTGTGTGTGAGTGTGTGTGTGTGTACTCACCTAATTGTACTCACCTAATTGTGCTTGCGGGGGTTGAGCTCTGGCTCTTTGGTCCCGCCTCTCAACCGTCAATCAACTGGTGTACAGATTCCTGAGCCTATTGGGCTCTATCATATCTACATTTGAAACTGTGAATGGAGTCAGCCTCCATTCACACACACCTCCTCCAGAGGTGTGTGTGTGTGTGTGTGTGTGTGTGTGTGTGTGTGTTTATATATATATATCTCACATTCAGTTCAAATGCATAATTAAATATATATATTTCAAAGTAAAATATCTATGAAAAATATTGAAGCCATACAGTGGGATCGAACCCTCGATGCTGGATTTCCCCAGGAACACACACATTCAGAACGAGTGAATAGGTCAGCAAGAGAGAGAACAGTTCGAGAACAGAATGTACACGAGGTTAAAACGCAGACAAATACGTATATATATTTCTTGAGGATATCTTGAGATGATTTCGGGGCTTTAATGTCCCCGCGGCCCGGTCCTCGACCAGGCCTCCACCCCCAGGAAGCAGCCCGTGACAGCTGACTAACTCCCAGGTACCTATTTACTGCTAGGTAACAGGGGCATTCAGGGTGAAAGAAACTTTGCCCATTTGTTTCTGCCTCGTGCGGGAATCGAACCCGCGCCACAGAATTACGAGTCCTGCGCGCTATCCACCAGGCTACGAGGCCCCCTATTTGTATATATGTACGCTCCAGCAGTCACATATGAGCAGATTGATGGTTTCAACGGGCATGAATGATTCAACTACACATATGGAATGTGGGTTTTACAGTAGTTTGATTATGTTGTTGGTCCATATTAAGCAGACACCCAAGAAATTCAAAACCCTGATTGGCAGGTAGATATGTAGGCGAGCAGGCAAGCTTAAGGGAGGCAGACAGGGAGGGTGGCAGACAGGGAGGGAGGCAGACAGGGAGGGAGGCAGACAGGGAGGGAGGCAGACAGGGAGGGTGGCAGACAGGGAGGGAGGCAGACAGGGCGGGTGACAGACAGGGAGGGTGACAGACAGGGAGGGAGGCAGACAGGGAGGGAGGCAGACAGGGAGGGAAACAGACAGGGAGGGAGGCAGACAAGGAGGGAAGCAGACAAGGATGCAGACAGGGAGGAAACACTAACTTACACAAAACAAAAGCCCATCACCAACACAACAGAACACAACACCTCATCATCCCACCCTAAGAGCCTCAACTAGACACAATCAATCAACTCTCCCTGAACACTACAATCATTACACCCACATAACACCAGCAATACACAAACAAACAAATACTACACTTAGGAAGGGTGAAGGGGGGAGGGGATAATGAACCAAGTAGTAACACTCACATTATCTTGAGATGATTTCGGGGCTTTTGTGTCTCCGCGGCCCGGTCCTCGACGAGGCCTCCACCCTCAGGAAGCAGCCCGTGACAGCTGACTAACACCCAGGTACCTATTTTACTGCTAGGTAACAGGAGCATAGGGTGAAAGAAAGTCTGCCCATTGTTTCTCACCGGCGCCCGGGATCGAACCCGGGACCTCAGGATCACAAGTCCAGCGTGCTGCCCGCTCGGCCGACCGGCTCCGACATTTCATTAAATAAAAATAAACTCAAGAACAAAAATATTTTGTTCCGTTCCACATGGACGTACAAAATGTCAAGAGACACACACAGAGGAAGGTTTGGTTGATAGTTCTGACGTTATCACCAGACAGACGACCATCTCGACGTCTTAGTGTCCCTTTTAACAACACCACACTCTCTGTAATGGTTTATACAACATTATGGAACGCGGTAATTAGGATCGGTCACACATAATGGTGTCAATATCATCTTACACGTCGTTACGTGAAGAACATTTTTTGGGTTTCGATTTTTTGTCTTAATTGTAAGACACGTGCATTGTTAATATCATATTACCGATTAATTAAATAATTAGGAGAGATGATGAGAACAGGACAGGAGAGTAGTGGTGTGGGGGGTGTGGGGGGTTTGGGGGGGTTTGGGGGGGGTGTGGGGGGGGTGTGGGGGGTGTGGGGGGGTGTGGGGGGGGTGTGGGGGGGAGTGGGAATATGTTGTGTGGGGGGGGGGGGAGGCAGTGCTCACCTAGTTGTGACTGCGGGGGTTGAGCATTGGCTCTTTGGTCCCGCCTCTCGACTGTGAATCAACTGGTCTATAGATTCTGGCGCCTATTGTGCTCTATCATGATATGAGTGCGTGGGGGGGAGGACCGGTCAAGAAGGCATAGAGAGGGATGAAGATGCAGTGGAGCTTCGTCGGCAGGTGAACAGTCCTTGTATTATCATAATCTTCTTCGGATCAAACGAATGTTTTAGAAAAGAAATATATATATATATATATATATATATATATATATATATATATATATATATATATATATATATATATATTTATATATATATGAATGAATTTTGGAGAATTGATTTTTCAATTACCATCGACAGTAAAATGAAACATAAGAAATATTGAGAAAATTCGTGTTAGAATTATTAACCTTACATTTTCGGTCATATTTAACAACATATGTTTACAAGAAAGACTGCTACCAATATAGATATATATATATATATATATATATATATATATATATATATATATATATATATATATATATATATATATATATATATATATATATATATATTGATGAAAGGATGAACATAATAAGAAAGAGGAAAATGGTAAACTTTATAACAAATTTACGTTGGAGGCAAAAGCGGATTTGGGCACCCTGAGGTTCTTCATGCATTTTAAAATTAGAATGTCAATTCCCGCCCACTGCATTCTCCTTGGGAGTTAAGAAAGGTGTAAATGGGAGGGGAGAGAAGACGGAAAGTGAAAGAGAAAGAATCGGAAGGGTGAGTGGGAGAGTGCATACGAATGGGGAGTGGAAGAGAGACGATAGGAAGGGAAAATGAGAGAGAGGGAACAGCAACGTGCAATACGGGAGAGAAAGAGAGAATTGAAAGAGGAAAATGAAGGAAGGTGGAAAATGGAGAGAAGGAGGGAGCCAGAGAATGGCGCAAATATGTCAACAAGTGGCAGCAAAAGAGGTAATGAAGAGGAAGAGACAGAAGGTAATCGAGGAGACAGAGAAGAACATGAGAAGAATGAAACGATCAAAAGAAGGAAGAAGAGAGATAAGGAAAACTCAAAACAAGGAAGACCAAGGATAAGAATCAGATAGAGAAGCCGAGGTGGAAACGCTGAGAACACGAGAAGAGCCATACAAGGAGAAAGTGAGGAGAAGTAGAAGACGCAAAGAAATATAGAGGAGAAAGAGGAACAGAGGAGGAAGGAGAAATAGCGTGATAACCAAAAAATGAAGGACTGAATCTCAGAAACGGAAGAGGGGGAAGGAGGGAAGAATTATCAGAGAAAAGCGCCAAGCCATTATGACTATATAGCACTTGGAAGGGGTCAGGATAAAAATTTGTGATGGGACGGGAGGGGAATGGAATGGTGCCCATCCACTTGCACGATCAGGGATTGAGCGCCGACCTGCATCAACCAAGACCATCTACCGTCCAGCCCAAGTGGTTGGCCATAGAAGAAGAGAAACAGGCGAAAAAAGACGAAAAACACGAGGGTAAAGATGATAATTAAAACGAGGATGATAAGATAACGGATTATCTTGAATTATAAGCAAGTTCAACCGGAAGCCACACACACTTTTTGTCTGATTTCCACACGCAGTAAGCTGTGGTCACGGCCAAGACTCCAGCATCCCATTGTCTCTGCCGACACTGGTGGCATGGTCACTAACAGGATGAGTGACCATGTTCAATAGTGTCTCAGTGGTGGCATGGTCACTCACAGGATGAGTGACCATGTTCAATAGTGTCTCAGTGCTGGCATGGTCACTCACAGGATGAGTGACCATGTTCAATAGTGTCTCTGTGGTGGCATGGTCACTCACAGGATGAGTGACCATGTTCAATAGTGTCTCAGTGGTGGCATGGTCACTCACAGGATGAGTGACCATGTTCAATAGTGTCTCAGTGC